GGATTTCAAAATCAAATATTCCAATTTAAAAATTATTATCAACTAAAAGGCATCTGAAATTTGGGGGTTATAGGATTGTATGACCCCATTTGTATGGCTATCTTTCTTAAATATCATTGTGTCATTTTATACCTATCTCTGCTGCCTACTCTAATTTTTTCTTCTTGTTAGATCACCTCTTTGCTATTCATTGGGAATTCAGTGTTTTGTTGTTGTTGTTTTAAGCTGAGTCTCATCAAGAATCTTCAAAAGCTATTGCTGATTTAAATTGTGCTATAGCAATCATGCTAATTGTTCTGTGGGTGCCAGTTAAAGGTATGAGGGCAAATTGTATGTGTGTATGCATGTGTATGTATGTATTCTTGTGTTTTTATGCACTCTTTTCAAAATCATTCAAAAGCCATCTATTCCCTCCGTCTGTATTGTGTAAGACTTTTCTCTCTACTTTGAGTGTGTGTGTGTGTGTGTGTATGCTCAGTCATGTCCAACTCTTTGCAGTCCTATGTACTATAACCTGGCTGGGCTCATCTGTCTGTGAGATTTTCCAAGCAAGAATACTGGACTGGGTTGCCATGTCCTCTAGGGGATCTTCCTGACCCAGGGATCAAACCCGTGTTTCCTGTGTTTCCTGCATTGGCAGGTGGATTCACCACTGAGCCACTTGGGAAGATTTCTCTCTACTTTCCCTGCTAATGATAACTATGATTATCTACTTTGTGGTATGGGGCAGTTATTATTAAAAAATAATGAACTGATTGACTACATGGATGTTCAAATCATTAAAGACCTAAAATTATAATTGAAATGTTTCCTTTGAAAAGTACAAAGAGAAACTTAGCTACATGCAGTCTATCCTCTGGGCACAAGTGTTTGCTTTCTTGTGAATGTTGTTAGCCTGTGAAGATGAGATAATGGTGCCACGGAAGCTATCAGAATTTAAAACAAGACTTCCTTTATTACTTCATTCTACAAACATTGCTTTGGAGTTCGTGTGATAAGTATTGTGCACACAATGAAAACACAACAGTAAGCACTACAAACAATACCTGACCTATGGAATTTCAGAGTTCAGAGAAAAAACAGTTATTGAATGTGTGATTGCAAGGTCAGTTCTTGTTTCTATAGGGCATATATCAAATGCGAGGAAAGTATTTATTCAAGTGTCCTGGTTTAACTTGAGAGTGTCAGTGAAGACCTCCTGAGAACTAATGTTCCTGCCAAGAAGACTCCATTAATGAGTCATGTTTGGCTAAGGAAAGATGAGAATGGGATGGGAGTGAGGGAAACTCAAGTAGAGGAGAGTACAAGTGAAGAAATCCAGAGGTGAAAGGAGGGCTTTAGAAGAATTGAAAGAAGTCTCAGTTTCCATGAGGAGGGAAAGAGGAGAGCAAGGCAGTGACCACTATGAGATGAGGTAGGGGAGGTGGGAAGAGACCAGGTCATGGACGTCATCATAAACCTCATCATGTTGGTTGATATTTTATCCCAAAGGCAACAGGCAGGTTACAATAGATAAGTGGCATGATTGGGTAGTGGCTGACAATGTGGAGAATGGGTGGGACTGATTGCAGAGAGGATCCAGGGAGATCTATTAGTATATTGTAGTAGTAACTGGAAAGAGGTGATTTGCAGTCTGAATTTGGGTGATGTCTGAGGGAATTTTAAATCATTTCTGATGATGGGAACACTCTAGCATGAAAACTTGGACAAAAAACTACATAATTATAAAGTTGTCAGGAGAATTATACCAGTGTAAATTGGTATGCATGTTGGTCAACAAAGAAATCCGTAGAGCAAAGATTATGTGTTTTTGAAAATAGTTTATCAAATAAGCATGTTCATTACATAAATCATATATGTCAAAAACACATTCATCAATAAACGTGCTGCCATAAGACAACCAATATTAAATTTTAGTATATTTTTCCAAATATATATGTATATAGGCACACAAAAGGGAATGTAAATTGAACACACTTTTTGAAAACGAAGATAGATTTGGAATTTAGGCTATATTACCCTTTTTAGAAAATTATCAATATGCCAATATATGTTCCCATAGGAAAAAAATATTCTAACATTTTAACAACTTCATGATACAGATACAGATACAGAGAAATACATATGTGCTTTTTTTAAGCTGTATATGTGATTCCATTTTGATATTTGCACTTTCAATTAAATACTAATGTATGAAATATTTTCACTCATGTAAAACTTCAGAAGACAAATTGATAGAGTCTAAATGATAGTTCTTTTCTCTTTCTCTAAAAGTATGTGACCAATATCATGGTGGGTTTTTTGTGGTAAGTATAGTGTACAATAAGACTAGCCCAAGGAAACATATTAATTATTCTAAATGTAAGAAAATTTATATATTTTATCTTCCCCAGTAAAATGCTCTAGTTTTTCCTATGGGCAGTACTACCATTCATCATTTCTTTCACCTCTGAGTTCCCATCTGAGCTATTACTAAAATTCCTTAGTGCAAGATTCCATGTTAACTAATTTTCATAGAATAGAAAAACTTCTGGCAATATACACAATTGAGTGCTGAGATGGAAGCCTAGATTCTTCCTAAGTGCTTTATAGATCAAGAAAACAGTCATCTATTTGCAAGCATTATTCAAGGTCATTTTAAACTATGTTTTTATCAGATTAATTTTTTGTTCAAAGAATCAAGGCTCCTACTACACAGTTTAGAGCTATGAACACGGACCACTATTATGGTTTGTGTTTGTTCCTGAAGCTATCATGCCTTTTTTAGAATAGTTTAATAAAAAGCAAATATTTGAGTATAAAATTTTTTTCAAATGTTATACGCCTCAGCATTTCAAGCTTTAAATGAAACTGAAGGACACTCAAATAAAGTCACTTTTGTCAAAGCCTTTTCCTATCATAACATATTTGGATGATGCAAGATGTATTCCCTTATGATGTCCAAGTGGTTGATAAACCGATTTCTGTGGAATATAGAAGAACTATTCGGACTTTGTGGTTTCCTTAAATGAGATGAATAAGAATTTCTCTTTTCTGAATAGGACATAAAGTATGCGAGGCCTATTTTAGATGCCTCAGTGTGCCAAAGATGGTTTTAAGTTTGGTGTTCATAAATTACTAATCTGGAATAAGAGATTGAATGTATTTTGAAAACTTAAACCTGTGTCACCTGAACATGTTTAACTAGTTAATAAGAAACATCAAAAAGACAAAACCCTGAGATCAACGGTCATTTTTTTGTAAAGCTATTATATGCTGTTTAAATTGGTTGTTCGGGTCTGTCTATAACATAAGTTTTAATAACCTAGCTCAAATGCAGATTTCTAATTTTCAATTAACATAGGAATAATTTTGTTTGCTAAAATAAAATAAATGAATGAATGACAAGTCTGAAACATGAAATGTTCTAGGTAGAACTTTTTAAAATTCCAAATTTCAAAAAATCATGTGGCAACTGTATAGCTCAAGCTTTAAGTATTAACTTTTAACCTTTGACCTTACAGATTTTAACCAATGAAATGTCTCTTTAAACTTTAAAGGAAACAATGATAACGAGCGCCTGGCGATTGCTAGACAGCGAATTCCATATCGACTTGGTCGAGTAGTTGATGAATGGCTACTCGACAAAGGTAAAAAACATTGATTAAAACTTCAAATAAAAAAATAATTTGAACATAACCAAGTAGTACTTCATTGTAACACTAATAAACATAAAAAATAAATTTTCCGTAAAACTAAATTAAAAACAGATTTAAAACAGTAAAATGTAGATAGTAATATTTGCATTCCTTGTATAATACTTTCTATACATTTTTAGACGTACCAGCTGTTTAATAATCTTACCCTGTTAACTTAAGGTTAAAGGGACTGTTAAATATAATCCACTAACTCAATCTATGAAGGTACTCACAGCAAGCATTAACCCAAAATGATAAATCATTCATAGATTATATTACATGTTCCAGCCTCTAAATTATTAACTAAAATATATGTAGTTCTGATATCTTTATTATCAAACAAACAAACAAACAAAAAAACAACTCTTGGTTTTAAACTCTAGGCATCTTAAATAGTGGGCAATATGGATTGCCATTCAAAATGAAGTCCCTTTAACGTTTGCAACCTTCTAAGAGCATTTGGGAACAAGCCCTAATTAAAACTGAACTTAAAGTTGTGTGCATGCTTTTTATGAACAGAGAGCAATCTGCTAAAACTGGATACTCAATTTGATGATTTTGGTACTGTTGCTGAGGATTGCTGTTTGATGGAAATGTGCCATAATTTCTCCATTGGTTTGTGTATCATTCCTGAAGCTGCTTTTTACATCTGAAGCTATGTGTTTTTTTCATTTGTTTTGTTTTAATAGACTTGCTGAAAGCCAATCAGAAAAATCTTTTTGGATTTTTTGTTTCTTTGTTTTGTCTCTGACACACTCAGTGTAAACCATGTGTTTCTTTTCAGTGTATTTGCCAGAAAAGCAGAATAATTCAAATAACAATGGACTATTGCATTCAAAAAAATAAACATTTCTAAAGAAGAGCATATGGATACATGTGGCCATTATGTGAATTATGAAATTTTTGCTATAAATTTAAAATTAGATTTCAGCTGCTATAGACTAGTTTCTGCCAGTGGTATTTTAGAACAACAAATACTTGAAATGTTAGATATCTTATATATTTTTAATTTATCAATTTAGATTTGAGATCTTGAGGTAAAAGAGAAAGCGATCCACTGAAAATTGATTTACAATATATATCTTTGATTGGTCTTTTAGCAAAGGCACTACATTTACAATAAGTTGAGAGTTTATAAGTATTTGCCAGTGATTATGCATTTCATGGACACCTCATTTATAAGCAATGAATTATGAGTCAAATGCCTCTCTTATAGTTTATTGCTCTCATTATCCACCCCATGAAAGATCTGTTTTATCATCCTTTATAGAATGTAGAGTTTACAATCAACATTTTTGCATGTATGTAATATTATTTTTACAGGGCGTCAGCTCACAATCTTCAATAGCCAAGCAACCATAATAATTGGCGGGAAAGAGCAGGGCCAGCCCTTCCAGGGTCAGCTCTCTGGGCTTTACTACAATGGCTTGAAAGTTCTGAATATGGCAGCCGAAAATGATGCCAACATCGCCATAGTGGGAAATGTGAGACTGGTTGGTGAAGTGCCTTCCTCTATGACAACTGAGTCGACAGCCACTGCCATGCAGTCAGAGATGTCCACGTCGATCATGGAGACCACCACGACCCTGGCTAGCAGCACAGCCAGAAGAGGAAAGCCCCCTACGAAAGAACCCGTTAGCCAGGTGAGCACCTGGCTTCATTTCTTCATTTTGAATCTGTGACTATGAAAGTAGACTTTTCTGCATGTGTGTCTTTTCTAGAATGGGATTACTTCTGATCTCAGTCATTATGGCTTTTTTGAGACTTGCTTAATATAATGGATTCAATTTGAAGATGAGATGTTGGCTTGTGGCTTGTGAACTTTGACAAACTTTGTGTTGGTTTGTGTGTGGCTAGGCTGATGGTCTTGATCCAGAAACCTTGGTCTAGACCAAGCTAAGGGGATTGCCTCAGCATTATACACAGTTTTCACTTTTTAAGTTAAATGAACAAGTAAATTAATGAAGTATCTGAAAGACCTTGTTCAAGCTCAAAACTTCATCAAAATTAAATAAAAGCAAGTTTTGAAAATTTAAAAAAAGAAATTACCTACAGTACTTGTATTTTGAAGCCTGAAAATTTTGAATTGGAAGGCATGTGGGTCTTGTCATGAATGATAAGTCTATTCTTCTACTGTTGGTAGGAAAAATGCGCTATTAGTTTATCTGAGTACGAAGACCCAAAATATGGTATTTAAAAACTGTCTTGAGCCAACATATTTTGTACATTATGTGGCTAACTGCCCTCACCCAAAATACTCACTGAGCTTATTTTTCAATCTTGTCTAAATTTTTTGGGAAAAAAAAGTTTTAAATGTCACACAGTACAAGAACTGTACAATTCAATGAAGATATTACTTCACTAATGATTTGTTGTTGTGTTTATTGTGTATGGCTTATTTAACAATAAGTGGATTATTAAGGCAAATCTGATATAAGAAAGCCAAACACAGAGCCATGATAAACTCTTTCCTTTAAGCAAAGTAATTCAGAAGAGGATATTTTAGGACATTTAAATTGGAAATATTCTTGTGAATAAAATTTTAATTAACCAGATTTTTTCCCCTCAGAAGTCTTGCTTCATCATTAATGAAATTGCAGCTGCTTAAGTTCTTAGGTAAACCAGATATATCCCCCAATAAGGAAGTATCAGCCTCATTTTAACATGCTTTATCTATTAGTACTTGCTATGTAGTAAGAAATTATGTTTATTAAGAAAATATGTGTAAAATAGCTACTTCATTTACAAGTTAAACATCTAGAAATGAAGAAATTAAAATTTATGCATTTTATAATATTAACTAATGTAAAAGGAAAATAGTTAACTGCCCATTAATTGCCAATGGAAAGACTCTCTATTATAAGCTATAACATGTTTAAAGATAGCAATGGTTTATGGAAGTAAATGATCTAATCAATTAGTGATTACTTGGTTCATTTGAGGAGGTATTGACTTAAATAAAAGATTACTAGGTTCATTAAAAAATAGATATTTTAGATCTTCAGATTTCAGATTTCAACAGACCAATAGTAGCAATTAACTAATTTGTATTAATATACTACAAATATTCAATTGTGGCAACAGTGTTTTAAAGTTGTACTGAAAGCTTTTAAAGTTCTCTCATGAGGATATGTTTGTGATTACAGGTAATAAGATGTGAATGTATGAAAGAGAGACTACTGGAGAAGAAATCAAATTGCTTGTTTTTGAACAGCAGGCTAATTTGTTGTGAATTTTCTTTACTTCACAATTGATTTTCAACTGCCCTCCACCTACAAAGAAATTATTGATATATACAGAATTTAAGTGTTTGCTAGAATTATCAGTCTTGGAAGTTTCAATAGGAAAGTGATTTGTAATGCTCAGTCTAAGACTATAACCTTTGACCCATTTTTGCTGGTTGGATGAGGCATCTTCCTTCCATAGTGGCCATAACTGCCTGCTTTTATCAACTGTCTTACTCAGTTGTATGCCAGGGAGGGTCATTTAGTTTTCAAAAGCCATACTGGACTGTTTTCTCAATCAACGTGTATTTTCCTCAGTGATAACACAGAGCCACTTTAAGTTACAATGGCTATGTACCTTAGGGTGATTGCATGTTTTAGAACTATAGAAACAGATTTTTGGCAAGCAGAATTAAATTGGATTCATTTCAGATAGATGAGATGAGATTTTTTCAGCCATTCTGCAGGGCAAGTAGTGGGGAGAAATGTATTTTTCAGTTTTCACAGAGTCAAAGAATATAAAAGAGAATTCACAAAATATCATCCCATAAGATTCTGTTTACATTCCTATTTAAAAGTAAATATGCTTTAAAAAGAAAAAAAAAAGTTTTTCTTCTCTTGATAGTGATCAATTTTAAGGCTGATATCTACTTTAGAAAGGCATGATCTATGTCTTGAAGTAATGTACACATTTATCAACCCTTCTGATTAAATGACTTCTAAAAATATGAATGTAACAATATTAGTAGCACTTTTTAATATGGATTATATAAAATTCACAAAAAGTTATTTTGCTTATGATATTTAGTATCTAAATGTTTCCATAAGACCCACTCATTCCTAACAAAGAGAAACTTTCTATAAGGATAATCTCAGAAAGCGAATATTTGCAAACTCTTAACAGTGTAAAGTTCTTCAGGATGCTGAGAGCTTCCTTCTTGGGGTTGGAGGCAAAAGTGTCACACAAGATCTCTGATGGCTAAGTGTTCCCTGCTCGTCTGAACAATATGGCAATCTATGATGTATATGTGAAAAAAGTGTTAGTAGCTCAGTCATGTCCAACTCTTTGCAACTTCATGGACTGTAGCCCACCAGGCTCCGCTGTCCATGGAATTATCCAGGCAAGAGTACTGGAGTGTGGGTAGTCATTCTCTTCTCTAGGGAACCTGCCAGACCCAGGGATCAAACCTGGGTCTCCTGCATTATGGGTGGAATCTTTACCGTCTTGAGTCACTGGCCAAGCCCTTGATGTATACGTAGCTTTATGTACATGAGTTAAAGCAAGTTAACATGCAAAGGACAATATCCATTCCCTTTGATTGCCAGTTTGTAAACAAAGGAAATTGTTTCTTTTGAGATCAAGATTTTGACATTTCTTTTGGTCTATGCTTTATATCACATTTTGCAATATTGTGTTCTTTCCATTAAGAATATTTTATAAGTTCTTTATATACTGTAGACAATATGGATCCATGGTATTGCCTTTTGATTAGAGAAGGTATGGTATAATAGAAAGATCACAGCTACAGGTTTCCAGTTTCAATACAACCTCTTATCTTTGTGAGTATCTTGGACAAGATGGTTAACCTCACTGCACTCTGGCCTTGCTTGCTATCTCTCTAAAATAAGTGGGTTTAGGCATCTCTTGAACTGTGTTGTTCTTGTTTAGTCACCAAGTCATTTCTTACTCTTTTGTAACCCCATGGATTGTAGCCCGCCAGGCTCCTCTGTCCATGGAATTTCCCAGGCAAGAATACTGGGGTGGGTTACCATTTCCTTCACCAGGAATCTTCCTGACCCAGGGATCAAACTCATGTCTCCTGCTTGGCAGGTGAATTCTTTACCACTGAGCCAGCAAGGAAGCCCCATGTACCCGGTGGTATATCAATGTAATTATTAATAGAATCCTTTTTTGACTCTCAAAAGCATCCCAGTTTGGTCCACAAATTGTATAACGCTCTACTTTGACAACATATTTAAAATCTGTCTTTGCAAGAAAATCATTCTTCATAAGAATAATAAATAAAGAAACCCTGTCTTTTACACTAAGAGTAGAAACTGACTCTGGTCTCCTTACCTGATTCAAGAATCCATAGTGTTTTTCATCTTCTTTTCATCTCATTTCAAAAACCTTAAAAAAGGAGAGAAATAAGGCTTTGAGAGATTCTGGCTTTTGACCGGAGGGACTATAGTTTGCAACTCTTAGAAAGAAATTAAATTGTAGACTGGGGCAGAATCAGTAAGTATGAGTGAAATGTACTGGAAGAAGTTAGTGGTTCCGGTTAGACTTTATTCAGAGTAAAGGTAGCAAATCTACTCAAGAAAAGGTGCTATTGAGGATTTTAAACCATTGGTAGGTTGTCAGGACATGTATATTCACTTCCTACTGAACTCATTGGTATTTGATTCCTGTAGAATGTTCCAAAAAGAATCCCAATTAGTGTACGAACAAAAAAAGTGTTTGAATGTGTTGGACACTGCTATTGCTTCCTGGCAGCTTTGGAGAGACTCATAAAAAATTAATGCTATTTGTTTGAAAAATGTAAGCAGAGTGCACACATATTTCCATGAAAAATATCTAAAGCTAACAAAAAACATTCTGTAACTTCAAAGAGCAAAATTTTATTTTTTATTAAAAATATTAATTAACCTTAGCTGTGGCTTCATTATTAAGAAATAACTGCATTACTTATAATTATGTGTGTTCCTGATAACCACTCTGCATTTTAAAAATACTGGTGACATGAATAATTAATTTTATTTTCCCTAGTCTAATCAGTCTGCTGAATTTGCTTAAATTAACGTACATTTTAACTGCAAATTTTAGTGCATAGTGAAAAGAAAAACACTTGGGTGTAGATTTGAAAATGTATACAAAGGCACGTTCTTCTAAAACTAATGGTGCTGAGTAAGAAAAGTATAATTCATTGTAATTTTTAAATAGATAAGCACTGCTTTTAAAAGGTGTTTTTCCCCTCATTACTGGTAAACAAAAGTTCTAGGATATATACATTTTAAAGAGTTTATTTTAAGAATTATTATGTCCAGTGCATTTTCTTTCTGGTCTAGAGGTTTCACTGGATGAAAATGTGCTCTCTTGATGGATGCAATTTTGGCTTTTGAGACATCCTTGGACAAGGCTAGTTCAAGACAAAAATATCCATTCATTCATTCATCCATCCCTCCATCAATCCATTTGTTCACTTAGCACATGGTCACAAAACACTTTCTTACAATACCAGACGATGTTCTAGTCACTGGAAATATAGCATTGAATAAAATTAGGCTCTTCTGTACCAAGCTCACATTCTAGTTAGGGGAGATGGACAGTAAATCATAAAACAGCATACGTGGGATGTCAAGTTCTATAGGAAAAGAGGAGCGAGGAGTGGGGATGTTTGTGTGTTGGGGAAGGGAGC